TTCCATGTGGACTTTGTTGCTTCTCAGCTACAGGGCCACTTATTTATCTTAAAACCTTTAAGACCCCAGACATCGTATCTTTTGATAGCTGGGCACCATCAGCTTTCTTCACCATATTTGCTTATGCATTTTGTCCTCAGTGATCATGTAAGGAAGGTGAGCATCACAGAATGCCAGATTATTAGAACAAAGTGTTCCTGCATTGAGGGAATACTTGGGTAGAAGCCCAATGCCCGTCTCCTGCCTTAATACTTAACATATAAACATATGTACATAGATCTATGTCCCTATCGTTATATCTATATACATACATACACATGCCTCCTGTATTTAGACCTCTATAAATGCCCTTTGCCTCCTAGTTCTTTCTATTTCCTTTTACTTTCCTTTTGTCCCACTATCATGTTCTGCCTTCATTTGGGTTTCAGTATTCCTCTTGGTTACATTGCCCTTGATCAATCCCCACCAGGCATACTACACCCTCTTCACCATCAATTTTAGATCACTTGTTGTTCCCTTGTCCCTGGGTCTGTTAACACCCACTACCTTTCCCCTGCCTCCACCTCTCCCGTGCCTTCCCACCCACCCCCAGCCATCAGTCCCATTGTTTTCTCCACCAGATTGTTTATCCCACCTATCTTATCTAGATAGACATGCAGAGACAATAATAAGCACAAACATAAGACAGAGTAAAAGAAAACATAACAACAACAAACCAACAGCAAAAAAAAAAAAAAAGCCTATCAATAGTTCCAGGTCTGTTTGTTGACGTTTAGGAGTGTTTTCCGGTTGAGTCTGATGGGTGTCATGCCCTGGCCCAAAAGTCTATTTGTGGCATTTCCTGGGGACTTTATTGCTTTGCTCCCTTTGCTGCACTGCTGCAGGCCCTTAGCAGTACGCCCTGGTGTGGTGGGGTCAGATGGGGCACAATTCCCACACTGTGCCTCCTGTGTTATTCCTCAAAGCACTTTCCCTCATGTCTTGTGGTGGGGCTGGCCTTATGGTCCTCTCCGTGCATTGGCTGCTCTGAGCAGGGATATCGTCCTCAGGGCTTGGGGGGCCAGGATGTGCTCCACACTCTCTCCTTCCTGCTTCATTTGCTCCTGTGTGCTCTGATCAGAGGCGCCCCTCTCCCTGAGCTGTAGCTAAAGTGCTGTCCTCAGAAGCGATTATTCTGGGTGTGCACATAGTTGGGATTGGGGCGGGGCCCGCAGGCCTCTTTACTGGCTCCCTGCTTCGTGCAGGTGTGTTGCAGACCTCTTTACTGGCTCCCTGCTTCGTGCAGGTGTGTTGCAGATCTCTTTACTGGCTCCCTGCTTCGTGCAGGTGTGTTGCAGACCTCTTTACTGGCTCCCTGCTTCATGCAGGCGTGTTGCATTCACGTCACCAAGTTGGTTCTCACGCAAAGCGACCCCGTGTACTACAGCATGAGACCCTGCCTGGTCCTGGTCTTCCCCTCAGTGACTACGCCGGAGCCCCTTGTTGCAGCCACGGTCCATCCACCTCTTAAAGAGCTTCCTCTTTTCCGCTGCTTTTCTACTTTACCAAGCATGACGTCCATTTCCAGGGGCGGGTCTCTCCTGGTAGCATGTCCTGATAGCATGCTAATAAGTTACTGTTCAGCCCCCATTTCTGTCTGTGAGCCAGATGCTGGCTTCAGTGTTTTAGTTGATTTCTCTTACGGACCCGCCCTCGCCCCCCCAATAACGCTATGAGCAGGGCATTTAGATTTCATTTGATAAGCAAGGAGACGGAGGTTTGAAGAAAGTAAATGGCTTGTTCACAGTCCCATCACTGCTGATTAACAGTTTAAAACCAAATGTTGCACCCAAATACTTCTTAACTTATTAAGTATCATCTTGTACTATATGTTGCTTTTTAAAATCTTTTCTTGTGAATTACATAAAGGTTTACAAAGATACTTTAAAAATGTATATGCCTTCTGTTCCCTGGCATTGATTACAGTCCCCAAGATGTAATAACAATTAGTCCACTTCCTCCCGGGATTTTCCCCTTTCCAGTCCTGTTGCTAGCCCTTCTGAACCTTGTCCTTGGGCAAATTCTGCACTTTTCATTTCAAACGGTGGTTTGTTCTGAGGAGTGTGTACCTCCCTTGGGTTAGTGTTCCCTTACAGATCTATGGAAAAGTGAGCCAGAGGGGTGAGTTCACTTCCAAGCTGAACTAAGGGCTATAGTCTAAAGAGGTTCCCCCATCTCTATCCAATCTGGGCAATGAGTCTGGTCATAGTTTTGAGTTTTGTTCCACATTTTTCTCCCACTGTATCCCGGACCTTCTAATATGATCCCTTACAGAACAGTTGGGCACCATCTAGTTCCTCTGGTCTCGGGGTCCTAGAGCCTGAGGTTCCGTGGATATTGGTGGTTTATTATTGCATCAATTTAGTCTAGCCCACTTCTAGAATGTGAACTCCTTAGCACCTCTGTATCTGTGGAGTGGACCAATTTGATGGGGAAGTTTGAGAAGGTTTTTTTTTTTGTTTGTTTTTTTAAGGAATTATTTACCAGGTGTGGACAGGTGGTCAGAAAACCACAAGAAACAGTGCAGTAGCCCAGGTCTTTTAAGGGGCTTGGTGAACTGTTTTAACCTGTGGGGAGGGTTTGGTCACTAGACCCTGAAGAAAGAGAAAGCTGTGTGGAGAGGCCTGCCAGATAGGAGCTGTGGTTTTCTCCCAAGAACACAGCCAAACAAGCAGGGACTCCACAGAGTAGAAGTCGAGAGACAAGTCAATGTCCACTTGCTCTCTGCCCTCTCTCTCATCTCCTGCGATCCTCCACTCCCATCAGCCAAGTATGACTAGGGATCCCACACAGCTCAGTCCCCCAGGGGGCACACCAGGAAGAAGGAGGTGGAAAGTGAGGTGCAATGGTGGGGGGACAACTAACTAAATCCAACTCACCCTGCAGAATGTCTGGACATACAGAACTACTGCATGGGCTCGATGACTTGGCTTTTGAATCTCATAAAAGTATTATGATTATCTATCTAGCTATATAGACAATCATTATACATATATCTTCTCTGGCATATGATGGGAACAACTAGGAGAGAAGAAATTAGGGAATGACAGGTCTGTTTTCCCCACAAAGTGATGGACCCCTTAAACATGAGAAAAGCAACTTTTTTTTTAATCTCCCAGAAGGCCAAAAAATAGCACCTACCTTAAAGTGAAAGGAGTGCTTATTGAACCAATGAATGTTCCAGGGCCTTTGATAAAGGATCTGTAAATAAGTCATGTCTGGACTCCCCCATTTCTCTGATTCAACAAACAATTGAATGCTTTCTACGGGTCAGATAGTATGCTAGAGATGTGTACGTATATGATATTATTTATTTAATCTTCAATACAATCTTATCGGTAGGTAACAGTCTGTTTTATATTGTGTACAAAATAAAGCTCAAGCCCTTAAGTGGGCTATTGAGTAAGTGGCAAAACTAGAGTGAGCACCCACACCGGATTCCCGGCTGAGTGTTCTTTCCCATGGCGGCAAAGCTGTGGCTCTGGACTCCACTGGTCCTTGGAGTGTTGGGCAGGGGTCTTCTCACTTGCCTCAGCCTCCTGCTCTAGAAGAGGATGAGAAAGAGATGGAGCCAAGGCTGAGGTTCGGTGCAGAGGCCAAGGTGCGCTAGGACTGAGCAGGAGGTGGTGGGAAGATCCTGGCTGGGTAAGACCAGACACCTCTTCTTCGGGGAGAGCTGGGACTCCCCCACCATTTGGTCTGGGAGACTATCCCATGTTGGTGGGGCGTGGCAGCCCGGCACTGCTCGGTGGATGATAGTGGCTGCAGTCTTTCCCAGTAAGCATGTGCATGTTGCCCAGTGCTTTCAAGTCCATTCTGGCTCATAGCAGAACAGTAGGCCGCCTTGTCCTGAGCCATCTCAAAATCATGGCCGTGTTTGAGCCCCCTGGTACAGCGACTGTGTCAATCCAACTCTCTTTTGCCTTGAAACTCTACTTTGCCAAGAATGATGTCCTTTCTCCAGGGAC